ACTCCGCACCTTCCCGTCGCCCCGCATCCCCCCCCGCCCCGCATCCCCCCGCGCGGCGCCCACCGGCGTGGCAGGAGGGTGGGGGTGTCCCGGGGGTGTGCGTGGGGCCGCCTCCCTCTCCCCCGCCCGAGCCGCCACGCCCAGCTGAGGCGCGGGGAAAGCGCCCTGCGGGAGCCGCGTTTGAAAGACACGCGTGTGCGTGGGGAAGGGGCGACACGACGGGTCGGGAGGGGAAGGAATAATAAAAAAAAAAAAAAGGTCGAGGGGAGCTGTAGCTTTCTGTGGTGGAGGGAAAACGGAAAGCCAGAGGGTTGATGGGGACCTGTGGGGAGCGGGGGCGGCAGTCGGTGAGGTGAATATTCATAGAACAGGCGCACCGGGGCGGCAGCGGCGGTCCCTGTCGTGTTTGACGGCGGGTCCGCAGCCCCTGCTCGGGCAGCCGAGCCCCCGAGCCCGGCGTGTGCTGCCCCGCCGGGAGCAGCGCTCCAAACCCGCCGGCGCGTCCACGCGCACGCGTGACCGCGGAGACAGCGCCGCTCCCGCGCCGCCTCGCCGGGGACAATCGCGTTGTCGCCGGCCACAATGGGCAAGCGCCGCTTCCCGCTCCTCGCCCGCCCCGACGCCCCCTGCACCCCGCGGATCCCCCCCACCGGCCGCCCGGACCCCGCGGTCCCCCTGCAGCACCGCCGCCCCCCGCCCAGCCGCCCTACCATCTTCCTGGCGCCGTGCGTGCTTTTCTCCCAGCGCTTCCTTTCATGGAGAGCTTGGGGGCATCTTCCTTTTTTTCCTTTTTTTTTCTTTTTTTTTTTTCTCTTTTTATTTTAAATTATTGTTAATTAAGCAGACTCCCTTTGGAAACAGGCTAAAAGCACCGAAAATAAATTGGGCATAAACCAGTATTATTCCCACCACACCCACCGCTACCGCCACCCTTCCCCATGAGAGCCTTCCCGGGCATTTAAATCTCACGAAATCGCCTTTGGTCCGTTGTCTGCCTCGATCCCGCTCCCAGGTGGTCCCCTCTCGAGGAATCGAGCTCCTCGCAGCGATATTCCTGAAATGTGCCCGAGCAGGCGCCTCCCGGGCTGCTCCGCTCTCTCTGCTCTTACCAATTCACACGCTCGTCTCCTCTCCCCACAATCGAGACACAACGGAAGGGGGGAAATGATAAAAATGGCAAAGCTTTCGCGGGCTGCTGTGTGAATGGCATAAGTGAGACACACCGCGTCTTACCTTTATGTGTCTTTCCTCTGTCCCTGTCGGTGTGTTTGTGTGCTGGAGTGTCACAAAGAGAGTCCCAGGTAGCCCAGAGCCCCCTCGCCTCGCTCGGAGCGCTGTGGCTCTCGCCCGCTCGCTCGCTGGGACTGGAGTGCCTAGTGCCTGCTGGAGCACTGCCGCCGCTACCGCGGCTGCTGCCTCTGCATTTCTCACTCTCTCCCCCTCCCTCTTTCCCTCCCTCCCCCCTTCCCTGTGACAGTCTGTGGGCAGTTCAAAAGCCACACGCTTTATTTATTTATTTTCCGGGCTGGCGGGCGGGGGATGCGCTGCGCGGCGCTCGCGCTTAGGGGGCGCACGGACCCCAGGTTTAAATATCAGCCGTGCAGGCTGCGGGGGGGGGCTGGACCGCGGCTCCGCGAACGCACCTTGCAGCATTACACCCCCACACCCCTCAAAAAAAAAAAAAGGGAAGGGAGCGGCCAACCTCCCTGCCCCGAGGAGAGCGGGCGCGGCGCGGCGAGGTGCGGGGCGCTCCGCGGCCCTCCGCACCCGAACCGCAGCGGGGGCGACTGTGCACCATGGGGCGGACCGTCCGATCCCGGCGGAGCTGGGATGCTGCGCGGCAGAGGGAGCGGGCACGCCGGGCCGCCTGCCTACACCTGCAGCCCGCTCGGGGAGAGGGAAAGCCGCTTGCACGGCGGAGAGGGGCGGCACGGGCGGAGGAGACTAAAAATCCCCGGTCCTGGATGCTCTTGGTACGCTTAAGGAGAGGGTCTGCCGGTTAAACACAAAAGGCAGCAAAATAGAGGAAAGCAACACATTTCTCAGGAGAATGGATCTCTCCCGGGCGCTCCTGCAGCTGAAGAGCTGGCCTGAACGTCGCTGGGGCTTCAGGACTGGTATCGCTCCAGATCTCCCCTTGTTCCAAAGCATCCCTGAGGCCGCCACAACCCCACCGAGGGTGCTGCCCGCAATTTCCCACCGCCCTCGTTTTACAGCCTGGCTGTGGCGGGGGCCGGGTGCGCCCTGCTCGTTGCTCCGCGCCCGCTGCACGCTGCGGGAGCCCGGCGGCGGCGGGCGATGCGCGGGGCTGGGGCGCCCTCTGCTCCCCGAGCGGGGGCCGGGCCGGGCCGGGCCGGACTGGGCTGGGCTGGGATGGGCCGGGCTGGGCTGGGCCGGACCGGGCGCTGCCTCCGCCGGGTGACCGGCCGCGGGACCCGCAGCCCGGGAAGGACGGAGCTGCTGGGAACGGACCGCGGTGGCGGCACGTCTTGGGGGAAACTCTGGCTCAAGGGGCGCGGTCCGGCTGCGCCGGGGCTTCAAAGCCAGCAGCACCATCTTTCAGCAAGAACAATGGAAGCTGTTTCCCATTTATCTGGGCACAAGGACCGAGTGAGAGACGCGTAGTACGCTCGTGATAAGGTTAAGTCCGGTTTGCATTTTCGATGGATACGGATCGAAAGGGGAGCAGGGCATGTGGAGAGGGAGGGCGTGGCCGCCAGGGTGTTTTTCTGATGGCCGTGGTGTGCGGTGTGATGTGCGGTGTCACGCTTCCCGGACATTCCCACGAAGAAAAACTATCTGGCAATAAAATGCATTTGAGTTTGTGTTTCACACACCGCACCCTGCAACCTGTAGCTGTGCCGAGCATCCATCCACCCAGCCGCTGCCGGGGCGGGGAGCTGGTCCGAAACGCCAGAGGAGAGGCTCAGGGACGACCTGGCAGCGCTGCGGGAGCCCCCGCTGTCCCACCGCGGTCACACAAAAGCCCTGGGCTTGAAGGGAGGAAAGGAGAAGCATGGACACGGCGGGTTCACCGGGCAGCGACAATTTCTTATATTTTCGTGAAAGCGTTCGCAAGCCAGTCTTTTCCTCATATTTTTATTTTATGGGGTTTTATTTTCCTAGTTCTGCTTCGTGTCTCCGCGTATTCCTGGCGGTTTAACCCTCGCCCTGCAGCCGCCGGGGCGCAGAGCTCTCCATGCCACACCTGTCCCGATGCAGCATCCCACCTTCCCGAGGCGCGGTGCGGACTGGCTGCGCCCTGCCGCAGCTGGGGGAGGGAGGGAGGGAGGGAGGGAGAGAGAGAGGGAGGGCAGGCAGGACCCTTCCCCCCGCGGCCTCGGCCGCGATATCTGTGCGCTCACCATAACGGGCTCGGGGGGACGGCTGCACCGCACGGGTGAGGCATGCGGCAGTCAGCGTTAAATTGGGTAATCGAGGAAAGAGAAGAAAGGGAGGAGGACACGCCCTGACACGTCGGAGGAGGAGGTAGCTGCTCCCCACGGAGGCGAGGCGCGTCCCGCCCCCGCGCTGCCTCTGAGCAGCCCGCGGCAGCGGGGTCCGCCCGCCTGCTTTCCCGGGAGCATCCCTGTAGAGGCAGCGGTAACGCCGGCGCCTGCCCGGCGGTGGCGTGCTGCAAGGTCAAGGGAGAAAATCCCGCTCCTCAGTTTTATTTCTGAGCCAGGAGTATTTGTGAGGCAGGGTTGGCGAGAAGTGAGAGGCAAGATGGGTCCAAAATCTAGCCATGGAGTAAAGCAGAGGCGTGCAGAACACAGCAGCATGACCGTAGAACGGCTCCGTGAGGGGCTGAGGGCCTGGGCTGGGCTGAAATCAGTCCTGGACCGTGGGCAGGGCTCAGAAGGAGCCCCAGGTTATGCTGAGCCGGGACGATCAAGGCTAACTGTGCCTATGAGGCCATGACTGTCGAGATTGTCTTGTAAAATTGCCCAACCACCACACAATTAGTGTGAAGCAATATTAGAGGGGAAGAAAGCGGCTGTTATTTAAGCTTGTGTTTAAACATGGGCTTAGGCAATGAATGCTCACCTACATGAAATCGAGCACTATCAGACTTTGTAACTGACTTACAACTTACACAGGGTTCACAATATATCTCAGAAATAAAAGTGTGTTCTGTGTCATTTGCTTGGAAAAGCCTGTGCAACTAAAAATGGCACAGAAATAGTCATTGTCAGTTATATCAGAAATAGTCATACTATCAGTTTGTGAGGGGTTTTGATCATTTTGTTCTTTTCAGCAACTAGAGGGCTGAGATAGTAACCATAGTTTACCAGCTAGTATTCTTGTCAATACACCTACATGCTAAATTATATATCTCAGGACATCCAAATTCAAAATTTGTCGAATGCTCATTTCAGCTACTCAGCTGCATCAAGGTAAGATACGTATCTGAACGTCTTGTTTAATAAAAGTGATACTTTTAGGCAAATGGGTATTCTAAACAGCCTTTGTCTTAATTAAGGCTGTGTAAGATATCCTCTCCTTTTTCTTCTGAAATGAAAAAAAGGTATCTGGAGGAAGAAAAAGTGCAGAAAAGAGACACCTGCAAAAAGATGAATAACCAGGTCTGTTGTGGAAAGGCAAGTCTAGGCCCTTTTGTGTAATCAACAGCTGCTTTTCTGAAATCTACACTGTCACTCTGCTTTGACAAATACCCAAGCTACCTGCGTTTTCTTAGCCAGCTCTTCCTGTCACCTCTTGCCACTTACTGTACCTCAGTGTTCTTCCCTCCAGCTTTAGCATTTCAGGCCCAGCCTTGTTCAGCCCTGTCCCTCTTATGGGTGTCACTTGCTGTCATATTTCCATCTTTTCCAGAAGGAAACAAATTCAATCCTAAATACTCTTTCCTCATATTTAATTTTTATTGTTTGTTCCTCTGATTAATAATCAAGTCTTTGTTCTGTGATTATATTAGGTCTGACAAGAGTCACAAGCCACGTCTCTTAGCCCAGCAAGTCCACAACACAAGTCCAAAATACTCACAAGCCCACCTCCCATCTCCTTCCACCTCTCTGTCTGTATCCCTGTCATCCACAATTCCATTTTTGTGTCTGAGCACTCTGGACTTTTTCCTCAGAAGAAGCTAGGATCAATAAGGAGTACCTATGCTGGGGTAGCAGGGGAGCTTTCCATTTTATTCCATAGGAAGAGTGAGATGACCAGCAAACAAGGGAAAAACAAACAAACCAAAAACAAGTAAAAACCCTCACCTGTGCCCCTCTTTCAGCCTTGCAAATGAAACACTGCCTTCTTCGCACTTACAATCACAACAAAACAGAAGCAAATCCAGGCTTCTCGCAGCTCAGAGGGCTTCCCAAACGTGCCAGCTCCGGCTGCAGCTGCAGGAGCAGCCGGCCCCCCCCCCGGCCTCCAGCTGCTGCCCTGGGCTCTCCTATTCCCGAGTTTACACCACGAGAGGGAGCATTTTGTTCAGTTTATTGGCAGATCCTGGTTTTCCCGGTATCCAGGCGAAGAGAACAGCCGCAGTTTCCCGTATGTAGTGATTTTCCCAAGCCCCGTTTATCCCATAAGCATTTTCGTAATAATGGGGTTTTTTTTCTTTCACCATGCTATGCAAATTTTAAATGTTTCTTAAGATTATTATTAATGTAAAGTAAATTTTATCATTAATATCTGAACTGTAATTACAGTTAAATTTCCTGTTCTTCTCTTGGTTATAGAGTCATTTCTTCTGGGGCAAATGCAAGATGCTGGTGTAAGACATATCTAAAATTTTCTATATCTGCAGTGGGTATCATCTCCTCTCCTATATAACTATGAGCTACATGAATTTCAAAAATTAACCACAATGGCATAGGCAGACACAAGGTATTATTTCCGAAATTTGCAGGCAAAGCACATAAAATAAAGAGCTTTGATCAAATCCCAAAATAACAACTTTGATAAATCACTACTGGAACACCTCAATCCAAATTTAAGTCCTGACATAAAGAAGACAGCTTCTGATAACAATTTTAATCTAGACAACCCAAAATCCTATGGTAGTAGGTGTATCTGAGTCTAGTTTTACAAGACTGGTTCTGTTTATACCATAAGTGGCACTTTTTGCCTATAGCCAGGTAGGGATATGTGGGTTGTGAACCCTGCTTTACCCCAACGTTTCTGGCTTCAGCTCAATCTGTAACACAAAGCATATGTGCCTCCCAGGAGGTCCTGCACTAGCCATCGATTTTAAAAGGCTTCTCTGCTTCACTGAAGTCTGCATGCGAGTTTTGCCAAAGATGGATATATTTGCTGTTCTGACAGTACAGTTATCTGGGTTATTTCTGTCTCTTACCCCACTCACTCTAAAGAGTTAGAGTTACTTATGTGCAAAAAGAAGCAAATGTGTTCAACTACCATGAGCTTCCCTTATGATTTATTCATGCCAGGCTTCTCCATGACC